AGCACTGGGTCTGGCTGGTGAAGGCACCTGCACCAGGAGAGAGTCTGTGCTGACCTGGAACACTGGGAATGTCGTTGTCAGGGAGAGAAAATGCCTCTTGTGGAGTCAGGAGAGAAGATTACAGGAGATGGCATCAGCAGCCTCAAGTAATTGTTGTTCATTGTTTGGTTCATATTTGCCTTTAGAATGTAATGTAACAGTTTCTGTTTCAAATAAGCTTCTTGTATGACAATAGATGTGTAGGGAAGTTATTACTCTCCTTAAACATTTCCATTGTGGCCTCTGAGCAGGAAAGAGAATGGAAAAAGAGAACAATAAAGCTGCTCTCAGATGTGAAATGTGGAGTTTATTGATTGTTGTTATTGTTATATCATTGTATTTTATATTATAATATTATGATATGATTGAGTGTTACTACTGAGTGTTATTATATGTGGAGTTTATTCAGTGCAAATTGACCTGGGAATCTGTTGATCCTTCCCAGGTGCTGCTCCAGTGGTCCCAGCCCAACAAAGTCCCTTTGCTGTGGATGGCTTGGCCTTGGTCTGCAGAGGAATGCCATGGAGTCAGCTTCCTGATTTTTCACACCTCAACAGGTAAGGGGTGTCTCTCTAACCAGAACTGAAATCCTTCTTCTTTAACTAAATTCAAACCATCCCAGGATTCCATGATTTGTGGATACAGCTTTAACAGGTTTTTAGGGATGTCTGGCCAGCAGGTTCCTTTGCCTGATGAGGTGAAGACACCAAAGAGTTCCCCCATGAATCTGCTGCTGGTAGGAGATCCTTCAACGGGAGGGAAAGGATCTGTCCTGGGGAAATCAATGTCCCCTCATCCTGAAAATGCCTCTCTTTTGTTCTCCCGTGAGTTCCCATACAAACAGCTCTGCAGCTGGTGCTCTTTTTATGGTCTGTGACATGAATTAATCCTAATACATGTGGCCTTGGCATTTTGCACCTCCAGTCCCCACATCCAGAGGTTTAGTTGTGGTTTCAGTGACTGGTTTAAAACATTCATGGCAAAGGATTCTTGGGGAAGATCCAATCCTGACTAGCTACGTGTCTTTAGAGACATCAAAGAGGAAACATTGCTCACTTGAGTGGAGAAACACCAGCTTTATTCTGACCCTGGTGGCTCTGTCACTGTTTTAAGACTTTTTGATTGAAAAATACATATATTCTGTCTCAGCACTAAAAAGGTTTCACTTGCTTTCCTGGGAAGTTTTTCTTCTTAACACAACTTGCTGGGGAATTTGACAGCTGAAGATTTTTTGGAAGCAAATTCAAACCCTTGTGCTGTCTTGCTGGGAATAACCTCCTGAAGTGCTGGGAACAGCAGGAGGAATTATTAATTCCCTTCCATCCTGCCCTTTTGGGAACTGCAGCCACATGGGTTCACTCCTCAGATTCAGTGCTTTGGCATCAAAGCAGAACCTGAGAGAACTTTGCCCACATTGTTCAGCATTCATTGGCTCCTACTCTGCCTTGAGGGTGGAGGGGGCAGAGAATCCCAGGAAGTGTCTGGGAATAACCTCCCCCTCCCCAGAGGCAGGGAGAGCACTGCTGGGATGTGCTGGGTGAGCTCTGTGGGGCTGGGTTCTCTGCCCTCCCCAGCACTCCATGGATTCTGGGATTCTGGGATTTCATGCCAAAGCAGCAGTTTGAGAGTCTGTCCTCCTTCACAGAGAGTTTGAAAATGGTATTTTGTAAAAAAAACCCGAGAAAAGTCTATCAGTGGATGGCAGACACTGCTGGGGGGAGAGCCCTGTGTTAGACTCGTTTGTATTTTGAGTCTGGATTTCATTCCCACATCTTTGTCACCGCCTGGATTTCATTCCCACATCTTTGTCACCCCCTGGATTTCATTCCCACATCTTTGTTACCTCTCTCTGGGCTGGAGGTGGGGTTGTGTTTGATCCAAGGAAGGTGGCAGGGGCAGGAGGCAGGGCTGAGTTCTGTGGAGCTGGAGCAGCAGGTTCCCTTCTTAAAGAGAACAGCCACCTCCAGCAGAACTGTGCACACTCTGCTCGTCAGAAAATACACAGAAACAGGAATCTTTGGGATCACTGGCAGTTAAAATCCAGGTGTTGTTCCTGTCATGGTTAAAAGAGGGGCTGTTGTGAAATCCGAGGGCACTGGATGTGTCACTGAATAGCTCCTGGGATTAGATTTTGGGAATTCGGAGCTAGGTCTGTCTGTAGTCCTGTGTTACCCACCTAGAAATGTGCCAGAGGGATAAAATACCCTCTGGCAAAGGATTCCTTGGGTTGGATCTGCCTCAAAAGGGAGTGAGTTACTATCCAAGGCTTTAACTTTGGTGACAGAGGAGCAGCCCAGCCCAGAGAGATGGGAAAGGAAACCTGCAGACTGGGTATACACTGGGCACAATTCCTGCTGGCAATCCAACTAAGGTGGTTTTTCAGGGCCAAAAAGTGGGCAAAGCATCATCCAGAGTTGTGTCACCCAGGAGTGGAAGTGCCAAGGGCTCCTATCCACAGCAGCTCCACCAGACCCACAGCCAGGCTTTTCCTGGTGTTCCCCAGCTCCACATAAGCTGCTGGAGTTGCATCTTATGTTAATTTTCTGCAAATCTCCACCACCATGAAATAAATGAGGCAGATTTTGGAATAATTGGTTCAGCTGCTGTGGTTTTTAGGTTTCCAGTTTTGTTCCCTGAACAAATCCTTCATTATCTCTGGGCCACTGAAACGCTCCACAAACCTTGGTGCTGCCGGGGTTATTCCTGGGAATAACGCACAGCCCTGGCTCCTGGGAGGACATTTAGATTCCAAAGGGTTGGCAGTGGGTCACCTTTCCCACTGCAAGGTGCAGATTTATCACTTATGGCAGCCTTGCAGGACCTGTGCCTGATCCCAGAGCACCAGCAAGTGCTGTTTCCCAGGCACCGTGGCAGTGGCTCCTTGGATTCCTTCCTGGGCTGCCCTGTGGGTCTGCTGAGAGATGTCATCCAGGTTTCTTGGGCAAATCCATGGGCTCTCTGTTCCCAAAGTTAAACACTGAAGTGTCCAAGGCCAGGTTGGACGGGGCTTGGAGCAACCTGGGCTAGTGGAAGGTGTCCCTGCCCATGGCAGGGGGTGGCACTGGGTGGGCTTTGAGGTCCCTTCCAACCCAAACTAGTCTGGGATCCTACGGAATAACCAAAGCAGAAAATCTCACATCTGACAGATGTGTCTGGGCTTTCAGAACATGAGCACTTGCACCAGGAAAGAAAGGACAAAAATGCTCTTCCATCCAGAATTAGAGCCCATGTCCTTCCCTGCCACCGAGGTGCTCCCTCACCAGCACAGCCTCCTCCTGCCCTTTCCCAGCCAGACTCACACATCTGAAGGAAATGGAATATCCTCCTTCTGGAATTCTCTGTTCCAAGGAAGAGGCAGCTGGAACCTCCACTCTCATCCTTTGGTCACTGCCTTCCACTCTCCCAGGCTGCTCCAAGCCCCATCCAACCTGGCCTTGGACAATTCCAGGGATCCAGGGGCAGCCACAGCTTCTCTGGGCAACTGAGGTTGTGTCTGTGATGTAGGAAGTGTGAAAGGAATTTGGAACTAGCTGGAACTTTCCATCTGTTTCCTGGTGCTCCCTTAGGAGGTGGACAGGCAGAGAGGGGGGGTTGGACCAGGATCTCCAGCTCCCTTTTGGGGGGTGGGCTCAGAGCAGCTCCCCCACAGCTCGGGCTGGGAGGGGCACAGGGGGCTCTGAGGGCTCAGGGTGGGCTCAGGGAAGGCACAAAGAGTTTGGGTTTTTCTTGTCAGAAAGACAAACCCTTTTTTCTGCAAGGCTTCCCCGCTCACCTTGTGCAAAGGGATGAGTCTGATCATGGAATCACTCAGGCTGGAAAAGCCCTCTGAGACCATGGAGTCCAACCAGCCCCAGCACTGCCAAGGCCACCACTGCCCCTTGTCCCCAAGTGCCACATCCACAGGGCTTTGAAATCCCTCCAGGGATGGGAATCACCCTGCCCTGGGCAGCTGTGCCAGGGCTGGACAGCCCCTTCCAGGAAGGAGTTGTTCCCAATATCCAACCTGCCCCTCCCTGTTTCTGTACTTGTCCACACTTGGCCAGTGCTGCTGAAAGGTTCCCTCCTTATCATCCCTCTGGGAGCAGGAGTTGGCTGGGCCTGGTCTCTGTGAGCCTCAGGAAGTGTCCTGTTTTTATGGATCACCCTGTGATCTGTGTGGGATACCAGTGCCCACCAATCTGCCTTCATTGTAAAAGTGTCTTCATCTTGTAGCCACTTCCTTCTTTAATTGAGGAGCAAGAAGGAAATACAATGGGCTGATTAAGAATCCAATCACTCCCAAATCCATCCCCATCTCTCTGTGTCAGCTACAGAGCTCATTATTTCCTGAGGGGAGGCTCCTGTTCCCACTGATCCAGAGCAATTCCAGGGATGTGAGTGTGGTTTGTGTGTGAGTGGAGCTCTCCATCACCCTCCATCCCACAGGAATCCTGCTGGGAGACAGGGTGTGCCTGCTCTGTCAGGCACAGCTTATGGATTGCTCCCTCTTCAGCTCCTGTCTCCTGTCCCACCATCCTGCCAGGCACTGGCAAACACTCAGTTGGAATTCACCAATTACCTGTCCTGGGGTTAGCACAAGTCTGTGAGATTTTGGAAACAAGAATTTCCATAGTTGTGTGAGTGATGTTTGTTAGAATTAAAGAATTATATAAAGAATTATATCAGAGCTGCACAGAACTGCACGAGGAGTTCATTGATGGTATTACACAATTCAGGCTCAGAGGAGCCAGAATTAAATCAAATTCTAGCAAGAATAAGCAACAAATGGCCAGATTTGAACCAGGTCCTGTAAAAACCCTGATTTCATCTGTGGGTTTTCCTGGGAGTTGAATGATTCTTGGAGCAACCTGGGCCAGTGGAAGGTGTCCCTGCCCAGGGCAGGGGGTGGCACTGGGGGTGGGCTTTGAGGTCCCTTCCCACCCAAACCATTCCAGGACTCCATGAATGGTGCAAGGGAATTAAGAGGGCAAAAAGCACTATTTTATTGTTTTCTGTGAGTAGGACATTTCACTGCATGGAAACTGAGCCCACAGTTCCCCCAAAGCCTTAATTCCAGCCTGGAATCTCCTTGCAGGTTGAGAGGTTGCTCAAAATCATAGAAGCATAACAGGGGTTCAGCAATAAAATAGGAAAAAACATGCATGTTATTATAACACAAAAAAAAGCGCAATTATGTCTTGATCACAGCTCAGGGATTACATGTTTTTAATGAAGTGAACACTGTCAGTGTGGGAAGCAATAAAAATGAAAAAAAGCTACAGAGCTGAAAATTCAATATATATGATAATACACATAAATCTATTAGAAAAAAAGTAAAGCAGAATTAATTATATTGCAGTACCCGGAGGGTGAATAAAAACGGTGAAGAATTAAGAAATAAAAAATTCATACTGTAATTAGAACTTTGCATACTAAAATTAGGGAAGGTGTTTTCTGATGCCATCCAGAACCTTCTTGCAGAGCAACCCCACGATGGGAGCAGGGCATGGTAATTATGCACCAGGGCCTGCAGGTATGAAACCCATACCCAGGCTTGCAGAGAGGATTAAACACTCAG